TTGAGTTATATTAGGAGTCTATTATGTTAATTGATACACTTCCCGTTTAAAAACAGTGTAATCCCCTGTTTCACGCCGTGAATACAGTCGAATACAGTAATCTGTCCAGCTGTAATTCCATGTTTCACGCGATGAATACACTCGAATACAACAACTGATTAACTGGACTTCCCTGATTCACGCCTATTTTTGCTACTGTATTCATGAATACAATAGCTTAAATACATCAAATATATATCTTATTACTACAGAAAATGTATCTATAATCTGTAATATAGCAAATAGTATCTATAGATGGCTAATTACTGCTAAAAGATAGTGCTTTATAAAAAAATTCCTTAAAACTTTAAGCAGCCATAGGTGACTTTTATCCATGGTACCATTAAGATTTATTGGACCATTAAGTACTGGAATGGATCCTTTTCCATGTATGAGGCAATTGAGCTATTAACAGTTAGCTAGCTTCCTTCCATCCAACAATTGAGGGGGGGGGGGGGGGGGGAGGAGAGAGCATACAAAGGACGACCTCGTGCAAATTTGGGACAAACAGCTGGATTCCATCAAACCTAGGAATCTTTTTGAATCAAATTAATTAATTACTTGCTACTATTAGTACTAATGATCTGTTACAGCCCACAAATATTGTCTCTATTGATGATATATGCATTAAGCAAGTTAGCTATAGTAGATTCTAATAAATTAATAGCAATTGGTAAAACATGCCATTAAAAAATGATGTCACTTTGGACTTATTTTGCCACAACTTTCTCTCATCTAATCATTCAAATAAAATAATGGGATACACATATTCTATCAATAAATTATTGGCTTTGGTTAATATGAGGTGGTAACATGTGTACTACACTACTAAATAGTTTACTACTCCTAGTGAGTATTGATGTATAAAATAGTTAGTGGAATTTAGATTTGAGTTTAGAGGAACTGCTTTTGAAAATGATTTAAAATCAAATCACGAATATTGTAAATTATGTGTTTGATTTATACTGAGAGGGTGTTTTGGCTAAGCTAAGGTGGTCAACTGGTTTACAAACACCTTTTGGTTTATCTACGCGTTTGGTAAATATCCAAAGTGTTTATAAGTCAAGTGCTTATAAACTAAAATCAGTCATAAGTTGGTCACCCCTAACTTATGGCTTCTCAGCGTATAAGCACTTTAGTTTGACCAAGGTTTTTACTAGTCTATCCTTAATAATATTTTTTAAAATACAGACTATTTTTCTTTTCGTTCTATATTCCTTTTTCATCCTTTACTTTACATAGAAATTTTTTAATTTATAATCTTTTCTAAAGTTTTTAAGGATGTTTTAGTCAAAAAATAACTTATTAGCACTTTTTTATCAAACACATCAACTTTTATTATAAATTTCAGCACATTTATCCAAATAAGTAAATGCTTATTTAAAAAATCAATTGCAACACTTAAAAATATATCTCAACACTTCAAACTTATCGACTATCAGCTCTTACTTTTGAGTGAATTAATTATGCAGTTGATTTCCATAGTCAAGTGAGATGTATTTTGCCTTTAATATGTATCTCTTAAAATGAGATTGTTCGATCTTATGCAATAAAGAGGTGCAACAAGTATTTCACGTTACTATAAGGCATAATGGCTTCCTGGCCACTTAGACTTGTAGGGCTTTTGAAAGCCGATACATGAACTTTGGATTTTCCCATTTGAACACTCAAACTCATGATTCCCTTAACTAATAAACACATTTGACCATGCCCATGTGGCAGTGACAAAGGTGATGTGGACAAAATACGTGTCAGTTGTCACGCCCCAAAACTGAGGGACATGACCGGCGCTCGACCGGGTAGCCCCAGTCAAGCGGACATGGGTGCCTTTCCTATCCCACGTGTTACCCCGTGTTTTCATTTCCCATTAATCAAAGGAACTGGCCATTTATAAATTTAACACCTTTTTACGAAATACACATAACATACATGGTTACTTAGCGTGGTTTACAAGTTACGCTGCCCAAATACAAGATATATAAGTACATAACCCACATTCCTGTCTACGAAGCCTCTAGGGATACAAAAGAGTTTTTCAATTCTTGTCGGTAACAAGGCTCCGGCTATACCTTACACAAATACCAAAATAAGACTCCGGGAAGAAAAGCGGCATGAGCCACGCAAGGCCCCGAGAGGAAAGGGGCTCACCAATACAGCTGACGGAAAGTGAAGGAGTGCTACTGTAGGTGGACTGGAGTACCTGCTATAGATCCACCTACAATCATAACACGAATGTAGCGCCCCCGGCAAAAAGGGACGTCAGTACATTTGAATTGTACTGGTATGTATGAACAAATTTTACCCCAAGTAAAATCAAACAATACACAAGTAACGAACAGTAATAGAATCAACGATCAAATGCACATGAAAGGAACAACCAAAGTCAAACAAGTTTCACAATCTCTCCTTTTCCCCTTTCAACATCATTTCATCACATCAATGGTTTCACAACTTTCACATATGTTCATTTCAATAGTGATTTCGATCACTTTTCCACCCTTATTACCTCGGTCACCCTTATCACCACAACCCACATCTTATAACTTCGTGTTGCGGCGCGCAACCCGATCCCACCGGACATTCACATTTAACACAACAACAATAGTTCACAGTTCAATCACATGGCCTCAAGCCATCCCGAATATCATTTCATAGCAACAATAACAATTTAAGTCACAAGATAATTGCCCACGACAAGCCACACATGATGTTACCACAGTTGTTTCAATTGCATCAATCACAACTTCTTTTCATCATTTATTTCACAGCCCTTACCACATAAACAAATTCACACACACACTTGGTTTATTGCCATTTATTCACACCGTCATATCGTAACGTTAACCAACAATGTTCAAGGCAATTTAGTCACAAGATTTCATGAAATAGGCCATCTTGCCCTAACACCCGTGAAGCAAACGAAATTCACAAATAGTCCACATAAGAAACGCATACCAATTACTCGTACACCAAACATGGTGACTTTACAAAGGTTAAAGTTAGCCATACATATCTGGGGTCGAATTTTTCTTTTCAACTTCTACTTTCAATTCACCAAAACAGCCTAGTACCGTCAATCTAGTTCACAAGTTAACACATATATCTTAGAATTGAAGTTCACAAATACAATCCGAACTTATTTACGTGATCAACCACTCCTTTTTGCAAATCTTTACTCCTACCCAATTCCTCTTACTAGATTTTAGATATTAAAGAACATGCATGTATGGTTTAACTTATATTTTCAAGAATCAATTCGTGAGAACCCCCTTTTTTGTGTAAATTTGAAAACCAATGAAAAAGGGTTGGGAATTTTTACCTGCAAGAACGAAAATGAAGATAATTACTCGAAATTTCCAGGCCTGGGTGACTTTGAAAATCAAATTGATAGAGATGAGACTTTCTCTCTCAAGAATCCTCCCTTTTTCTCTCTCTTTTGTTCAGAAAATGGGTTAAAATGGAGGGTTGGGGTATTTTATTGAAGAAGGGGTCGGGTTGAAAAATTAGAAAAATAGGAGCCCGAAGTCAGGTTTGTGATCGCATTTGCGATCGCAAAGTGGAAATGCGGCCCGCAGAATGGACCGCAAAAGTGCTCCCAAAATCTGGTCATTCTGTTTGGGTTTGCGGCAGAAATGCGGTCCGCATACCAGTTCTGCGGTCGCATAATGCACCGCATAACTGCCCTTTATAAAATTCCAAGATGATTATGCGACGACTATGCGGTCCGCATATCAATTATGCGATCGCATAATGGACCGCATTTTGACCTCAAATTTGACTAACACACTGACTCACTTTGTGATAGAAATGCGGTCCGCATACTTGATTTGCGACCGCATTCTAGACCGCATAATAGCACTTTTCTGGAAAACTTTGATTCTTGATTTTTAAATGCTAAATCCGTACAAAGGGCCCGAACCGCGGTTCTAACACATATTAATAACTTGGCACTACGAGTTCTAAGTTTTGAGCACAAGTTTTCACGGGGCTTTACATCAGTCACGCTAAAAAATGCGCGTGAATGTAATAATCTGATTAAAAATACTTTATCAATAGGGAAAAACTTAAAAAATAAAAAAGAAAAGAAAATTACAGCCAGGTGCTGAAATTATATCCACGATTGTAACAAAAATGGCGGAGCACTAGTGAAGTTAGAACGGAACGTATCAATAAGGGGTTTGATGGAGAAATAATCGGCGGTACGTATTAGAAGTCTTGGCGAGACGTCTATTTTTCCGAGCCGCCTGAACTTTTAAAGCATGGTGCTGCAAGTTGACGTCGTCCGATTAGATATCATCACCGGAATTTCCTCTGGGAGTTGCATTGGAAGTGGTGGAGTTTGATTTTTGTAGCTCTCGCATCCAAGGTCTATCATATTACCAAGCAAATCGGAAAATTGGTGCCTTTTGTCCTCAAATATGAGGTTTTCAAAGCTCTTTAGAACCATGGATTCCTATTGATTTTTTTTTTTGAAATTCCAAAATTAAATTTATTTTTCTAGTCTAACCATGAGCATAGTGATGTTGTGAATTTGATTTAGAAATAAGAGAGAGAAAGAACTCCGAAGAAAAAGAGAAAGCAGAAGAATAAAAATAAGGAAAGAAATGAAGGTGGGTGAACGGATAAGAAGGGAGATGTGGGCGAACGGAGTAATAGCTTCAGGTCTTTTTCTCTCTTTCTTTTTTTTTTTAATTTGTAACTTCTTTTTTGCTTATTTAGTATTTAAAAATAGGATTCACAAATAACACATGTCAAGTAATAAATGTCAGCGCAATTGATATACACGCACTACTGAATGTATTTATTAGTACTCATTCTGTCAAGTTCGAGTGTTCAAATAGAAAAATTTTAAGCGACTTTCAAAAGCCCAATAAGTCTAAGTGGCCGGAAAGTCATTCCGTCTTACTATAACTACTACTCCTATTGGTGGTCACTGGTGGCCCGGGGGGGTGGTTTGGCGTTGTCTTTTTTTTTCTTTTTTTCCCTTTCTTTTTCCTTTTTTCGGGTCAGGTAGTTGGTAGAAGATATTTTTTATTATCAAAAAAGAAATAAAAAATCCAACCCAATGGAAATTGGAAGTGACATATAAGTAATCTGCAGAGAAACAAGAGAAGAAAGCTTCAATCCGTGTTTCTTTGAGAAGAAGGGTGGATCTATTAACAACTTGTTAATAGGCACACCCTTCTCATGTTAAGGTATCATCATCTTTTACCTCACTGCATCCATTTTTCGGTTAGTTAAGATAAGTTAATTACATGAATCCTTTTATCCATTTAGTTGTATTTAACTTCATTTCATTTATATCAGTTAATGGATTTTGCTCGATCCCTCCAATACCACTCGTTTTTTTGTTTGTCATCTTCAAAATCAGAAATATTTTGTGGCCTACTATATTTTTTTAATTTTCTTGACGTCTTTGTCAATGGGACTGTACATATGAATAACTACAATAATACAACAATAATTCGTTGCATCTCTCTCTCTCTCTATCTTGCCTCTTATATTAAGACGAAGCCTATTGATTTTTACCCATATCTATTTCATCTTGACAGAGGTTCTTGGTGTTTACTTTTTCCTGGTTAGTTACTGATTTAATTCATTCTCTTGGTTTAAGTCCCATGTATTGAACAATTCTATATTGGGTCTTTATTTTCTGTCCAATTCTCCAGCTTTTTAGTTAAATTTCTTATATTTCTGGTATGTTTTAAGTTCTGAGTACTTCAAAGTTCGCAGATCAAGTTGATGCTGTTTTGGTGAATGTTTAATTTTGTCTAGTGCTTATGTGCTTTACTGGTTTCTTCCTGAAAAAGGAAGGAAAAAAAGCTGATCTTAATCAAAATTATTGACAGTGATATTGGTAGGGTGAATTTCATATTTGAGGCTTCATTAAAGATTTGATTTTTATTCCATAGTATTGTTTCATTTTGGAAAACTGAAGTATTATGGCATTCTTGGAGCTTCACTAGTTTAATTCATTGTTCTAGTATGTTTTAAGTCTCTGATATCAGTGTTTCTGGAAGTTAGAATGTTATAATAATGGCTGATATTGTTATAGCTGACCCAACTATTTTGGGATTAAAGTGGCAATCTTCTTCTTGTTGTTGTTTGATAATAAAATAATAATAATAGCTGATAAATGCATTTTTCTGCAGATATTTCTAAAGAAACCGAAAGGTTAAAGCTGCTGTTTATAAGTTAGTGTAGTTACAAGCCTCAAAATCTAAGAGTTTCAGAATATGACGATTGGAAGCCTTAAACATTCAAAGGAGAAGAAATCCCGAAGGAGCAAACAAGCTGTGGTTGATGAGCAATCACCATTATTGCCTACAAAGCATAAGGAAGATGCTGGATTCGATGAGTTTGATGGGGCTTCCTTTAGTGGGGCTGTATTTAATTTATCAACCACAATTGTTGGTGCTGGAATCATGGCCTTGCCTGCGACCATGAAGTCGCTAGGTCTAATTCTTGGGATTGCTATGATCGTCTTCATGGCTTTTCTGACGGAATCTTCGATTGAGTTGTTGATTAGATTTAGCAGGACTTCTAAATCAGCTTCTTATGGGGGTCTTATGGGCGACACCTTTGGAAAGTATGGGAAGATGCTGCTCCAAATATGTGTACTTGTTAACAACATAGGTGTACTTGTTGTATACATGATTATCATAGGTAGGTATCAGTTAATAGCTGAACAGCTTCTTAGAGACTTACATTCGTATCGTATATCAAGTATTTAAGGTCGTTTTTTCGCTTTTTAATCCATGATAGATTAAGGTAATCACTCTTTATAGGTGATGTGCTCTCTGGAACAAATTCAAGTGGAGTTCACCATGCTGGTGTCCTGGAAGAGTGGTTTGGGGCCCAATGGTGGAATAGTCGGTTCTTTATTCTTCTTGTCACCACTCTTGGCATATTTGCGCCATTGGCTTCCTTGAAGCGTATTGGTGAGTTCTTTCAAGAGATATGTCAGGTTCTCGAAAGTACACTTTAATTTTAAAATACTTAGCTTCAATGCTATTTCTATTACTCGAATCTTAGAATTGATCAGTTGGGTATTTGTGGAACCTGGTTGCTGTTTGGTGAGTTCAATAAAATTCAATTTCATGATTTCTTTTAGAAATACATGCCTGGATTAGCACTCAATCTTGTTTGTGGCTGGAGTCTTGCTCTTTTTCAAAAATATGTCGACAAAAATAAGTTTAGAATCTCTCTCTCTCTCTCTCTCTCTCTCTCTCTCTCTCTCATTCAGACATGATTGTGGAGTAGAATTCACATCAGATATGTATTTATTCGCCTCTGAGTTGGTGGTCAGGCTCATATCCTTCTTCCTCTAAACAGGAACTGTTTAGAGTAATCCAGCAGTTGTCTCATTATCAATAGAATTGTCTTCCTGAATTTAGATATACAGTGTAGCAAGTCTAAGCTCCTTATATTGCTATTGCAGATTCATTGAGATTTACATCTGCATTATCAGTCGCCTTGGCTGTTGTATTCCTGGTCGTGACTGTGGGGATTACCGTATTCAAGCTAATGAATGGGACCATTCTTATGCCCAGATTGCTTCCTGATGCGTATGATCTGACATCATTCCTTAAGCTCTTTACAGTTGTTCCTATACTCGTTACAGCATATATATGCCACTATAATGGTATGTACTCCTATAGCCCAACTATAATTTTATACATATGTTGCCATTTCTAAACTTCACTGAAAGAAAAAGCTATAGAGATTTTTTCTGCCAAATGCGATAAAGTTACTTGAAGCATTTATAGTGTGGTATCATCTTTAGTTGTCCCTGGTAAACTTAAATTTACACTTCACCAAAGTTTCTATGTTCACCGAAAGATAACTCAAATGTATGTGCAGATACAATGTAATGCATTGAAAGTTCTATTATTGCAGACTTCTGGTTAGTTGGGGCACTTTAACACTTGATGATTAATGCCTGTTGTAAATGATATTTCATTATTCAAGTTTAATAATCCTTGCATTCACTTAAATTGCCTTACTTTTTTCTTTTAGTCTATCCTAATATTTTATTTGTCTATTACTTGCAATTCATACCATCTTGAAGAATTGATATTAACTTAATAATCGTACTGTGTGCTATTTTGAACTTTGTTTACGCTTATTCAACCAACTATTTCATTTTATATATTATCTTAGACATCTCTGATTGACTTCAATGAAATTTCCTGTCCAACTTTCCCTGATTAGAATGCTAGTAAGATTAGATGTAGGGATGGCAATGGAGCGGTGCGGGTGCGGGGCGGGTTTGAACGTTAGCGGGGCGGGGCGGGTTTGAGATTTTGCGGTTGCAGGGCGGGGCGGGGCGGGGCGGGTTCAATTTTTAAATTTAAAAAAAAATGCGGGGCGGGTGCGGGTGCGGGTGGGGATTTAATATTTTAAACTAATAGAGAGATCTTTATAAAGTCTTTTCTTCTATTTGAATTATATGTAGTTCATGTAATAGAAATTTTCGTTCATAAAATTATGCATTTACAAAAATGCATTTTAGTAACTTTATTATTTTTAATGGTGCTATTTTTTAAAGCAAATTAAAGGCAAAATCACTAGATTTAGAGGCAAAATATGGGAATTTAAGAACATTTTGGATGTAATTAATTGTTTTGTTAAAAAAATCAGATTTAAGTCTAGCTTTCTAAAAAAGAAAGAATTTTTATAAATAAAAAAAAATTGCGGGTGCGGGGCGGGGCGGGTGAACGCGGGTGGAGTGCGGGGCGGGTGAATGCGGGTTTAAATTCTATGTGGGGCGGGGCGGGTTTAAAATTTGCGGGTTCAGACAGAACCCGCCCCGCACCCGCCCCGCCCCGCCTGCCATTCCTAATTAGATGATTTTATAGTTATAGGAGAGTTAACTCTGTGTCATCATACAACTAGAAATGCAACATTCTGAAAATTGAAAGTTTTGCAGTTCATTCAATAGAAAATGAACTTGAAGACAACACACAGATCAGAGCAGTGGTGCAAAGCTCGCTTGCTCTTTGCTCAACAGTGTATGTGTTGACAAGCCTGTTTGGTTTTCTCCTCTTTGGTGATGCAACCCTTGATGACGTGCTTGCCAACTTCGATACCAATCTTGGAATCCCATTAGGCTCCTTGCTCAATGATGTCGTTCGTGTCAGCTATGCTGCCCACCTGATGCTTGTCTTCCCCATTGTCTTTTATCCATTGCGGCTTAACTTGGATGGTCTTCTCTTTCCTTCTGCGAGGCCTCTGACTTTTGACAATTTGAGATTTGCATTGATCAGCAGTGGGCTCATTGCCGTCATCTTTCTGGGTGCAAATTTCATCCCAAGCATCTGGGATGCTTTTCAATTCACAGGGGCAACTGCTGCTGTTTGCATTGGCTTCATATTTCCTGCTGCTGTTACTCTCAGGTAAAAAAACATTTCTATTTGAGAATTTATTCCAGAGGGTTCACTTGTTCTCATGTTTTTCTTTTTCAATACCTGGGATTCGAATCTTGCTTAGCGATCTTCCTAACTCCCTCAGCCAAACAAAAAGAGAATGTGGGAACATTCACTAGAGTTTGTGCAATATAACAGAAGAACAGCTTCATTGGTGCTTTGATTCTGTTGAAATTTTTGGTTGTGGTGCATTTATTGTCATTTCTGTGACAGCGTGTCTGACAGAAATAGATTAATGTCTTCTACTAGTGCGTATCTAACTTCCGTATAGGGGGCAGTTGGTCCGAAAACAATGGATATTTACTATCCTTGTTTAGAAAGTTCCTGCTTATACGTGTCTTCTTGGGGAGTGAAGAGGATCACATCTGGAGAAATGTATGCTAGTAGAACACAATCATTAATCCTTCATTTTTAAAATCCATTGAAAGGACGAGAATTTTGGCAACTTATGTACAGGTTTCTCTGAACAGATACTGAAGCTGAAGAATAACACATGCAAAAAGTGTTTCCCTTCCTATCCTTTTTTTCTCAATGTTTTCTGCTAAGCCCTTCAACTATAATAATTAGACCTTCATAAGACAAAGCTGAGTTTTTGGTATTGTAATCTTGCGGTTTGGCATTGTTGGCACCATTGTTGATCGACAGACAAGCCGGTGTTACTGGTTCACTCCGAATTCATTTATAATTCAAAATTCAAATATCGTAGCTGTCAGAATTTCAAGATTTTACTAAGACCATGCATACTTTTAATTTAGTTTTGCCATAGGTCTTCTTCTCCCTCCTCCCCAAACGCTTCTCTTTCCCAGGATGTATATATTTACTGATCTAGCTGCTGTCTTTCATGTTCCAGGGATCGGTATGGCATAGCAACGAAGAAGGACAAGATCTTGTGCATATTTATGATTGTCCTTGCTGTCTTTTCTAACGTGGTGGCCATATATAGTGATGCTTATGCCTTGATTAAGAAGAGTTCATCACCACGTGAGTGATTTCTCATGTTGTCTGCTAGCAACAATGAGACAGAACCATCAGTTGCACTCCCGGGGAAGATAGACTGATGACAGGATCATTATGACACAGGAGATAGTGCATTTCCTTGAGGTTGCTGGTTCGTGATTGAATAAAGTTTATATGTACTACTAGATATCAAAACTTGAGTAGGTCTGCTCAAGATGTATCAAATCTTGGCATCCATGTACCATTGAGTTCCGGTTGTATTACATAAATTATGTCTGTAAAGTGGAATGAGAAAACAGAGAGTCGGCCACTTGGCTATGAATGAGTTTTGTGCTAGTATATATTGGTTTTTTTCATGTACTGGTATCCACTTGTGTGATGGTTGATGGAGTTTACATGGTAATCCATCCTTTTGTTTTCCTTTTACAGACTGCTCTGTTAAACATAGTTAGCTGATCTGAAGTTCAACCTATATGTTGGTTTATATCAATTTCTGCTTATGCATTGGGACCTCTGAAGGGAGGCCTCGACGCAAAGGTTATTGTTGCTGTCGTGTAACCAGGATGTTACGAGCGTATAAACCCAATGTGGTTCGTACTTCCTGGATATGCATGTTTCATTTATTTCAATGATATTGTTCAGAGGTGGAAAAAGATGGCTTGAATTTCAAATTTGAAACCTGTGTCCAGACGCTTTTTATACTCGGCATATGAAAGGAGTAGTTGAAAAATAAAACATTTGAAAAAACTTATTTAAAATGGTAAAAAAAATTCAATGTAAAATGTCGATTAAAATATCCAACGAATTTGGACAGATTGAGAGATAGCTAAAGTACAAACAAACTTAGATATAAAGACTAAGTTTAAATCAGATCGAAGATGCCAAATTAGCTATGGTGATAATTACTAAAATACAGCACGCCGTTCGCTCCAACAATGCTTATATAGATGGACTGGTATTCAACGTCATAGCCGAGCTAGTGATGATCACGTTAATTCAATTTTCTGTACCATCTTTTAACTTGTCCAAATTTTGATGGTTTAATAAGTTATAATTTTGGATCCAAAATATTTGACTCAAGTACTCAACCTATATTAGTAATATTAATGTTTGGACCAATTTATGCTAGTTTGGCACTAGTAACTCGTACCTTCAATCGGCATATATTATCATTAATTCGAGATTAAATGTGGTGTCATTTAAAGTTGGCAGAATGACCTAAATGGCACCTATACTTGTACCACTTTATCATGCCGGTCCTCCTACTTCACTTTTTTTCATCCAGACACTTTAACTTGTTCAAAATTTATATTTTAAACCCTTTTGACCGTTGACCAAGCACATGTGGCAAAATAATGGTTGAGCTGGACAAAGTGGGTGTAATTCACGCGGATAATGAGCGTGAATAAGGACATTTGAACTAGAAATAATTAAAATAAAAAGAAAAAATCATTAAAATAAGAATGAAAAATAAATAAGTAAAAAAAGAAAAGAAAAAAGCTTCTGAAAAAACAGAGAAACAATGAGAGGGAAGTGGCTCTGTTAATTTGAAGAAAACAAAACGTAGAAATCCGTTGGGAAGGTATGAGAAAACACACGCCTAAATCACGTAAACCTAAAATTCAGAGCCGCTCATCAGAGGTTCATGAAATTGAACTTCTGGAAGCATGGATAGAATCGGGTAAACCCAAATCTGGTTCCAACTCGCTATCACTTGAGCTATTAAGCTCCGATTGAACGTCTTCCTGATGGTTCGTTCTCTAGGTATCGACCCCCCCCCCCCCCCATCCCCCCCAAAAAAATAAAGAAAAACAACCCAATCCCTAAAAATCCTTTGCTAAAAGTGACCATTTCTGCTATCAAATACTAATTTTCTTCTGTTTTTTATTTAATTTTGATATTTTCTAGGAAGAAGAAATTTGTGAATTTTAGGGAAGAGAGATGAGATGGAGGCATTGATTTTCTTTTTCTTTTTCTTGAAGTAAATAGTATATAATAAGTGTTTTAAGTAGATAAAATATAAAAAATGACGTGGAATATGATGTGTCATCCAAGTCAAGCAAGTGAGATACACACACGGTCAGAGGGGTTTAAAATATAGATTTTGAACAAGTTAAAGTGTCTGGATGAAAAAAAGTAAAGTAGGAGGACCGGCATGACAAAGTGGCACAAGTATAGGTGCCATTTAGGCCATTCTGCCTTTAAAGTTATATATATATTGGTGGTGTAATAATTTTTTTACACAATTTAACCTATTATAATAGATTATTTTAGGTCTCTAATAAACTAATAGATGAAATTATTCTTTTAAATGAACTGATTTGGTAAATAATTATTACACGCAGAGCACAATGGTTAAACTCATTGGGACTAATAATGTGTAAAAATTCTACTCGCCTATGTTAGCTTATATAGATCAATTTTGTGTTAAGGAGATACGAACCCGGCACATCATTCCCCCTATTTTCTCATCAGCAGAAGGGGAATCTCCGTTCATACTTATCTTTCTCTGATTCCCAAGAAGGTATCTATAGTTCTACTTTATATGTCTGTCGATTCGTTTTATAGTTCAGTATTTCAGCTTCTCTCATAAACTGGGAAGAGAGTTAGCTCTAATTGAATGCCTTTGTTGAAGATTATTGGACCCAATTGAAAGCTAAATTACCTTCTTTAACAAAAGGCGCAAAAATGGTTAGAAAATCGTGCATTCGAGTGTAAATTGTTGCTTATATAATGACTCAAAGTTTGTTAAAAACAGTCTGTTTCTTTTAATTCATGAAAACCAGAGAGTTCGATTGTTGAACTATACATAGGTTAGTGTGAATAGCATTATGATAACCTGATGCAAACTCTGATTTTTTTTTTTAAAAGATAATAACTGTTTTGATCAAATAGGAAAACTCCCGGTATACTAGTGGTATAGGACAAGTAGAGATTGTTCTCTACTCTACGACTTGTTTCCAGTCATCTATACTGACTGGCCTTCATGGGATGCATCAAAATTCACAAGAGACTGAAGCCCTATTTTTGGGGTTTTTTTTTTTTTTGGTGGGGGGGGGGGGGGGGGGGGGGTTGAAGGGGTTCAAAATTGGAAGAGGTAAGAGTCCTATAGCATGAAAGAAAGTATTTTCTAGGAAATAAGTGACTCTCTCACTTGTATTCTAGTATTTGGCTGGTGAATGGATGGTATTTCTTTAAAAAAAATTGTTATAGATTGATAATAATATTGGTAAATTAGATAGTGGTTTGATGAAACTTTTTTAGTATTAAAATTGATAATAATGTATAAGTTTTGATTTGAGCGAGTGATTCAAGTAGGAAGGTTGGGGATGTTTGTAGAAGAAAATGACTCTTGCTCGCTAATGGGAAAGTTAGAGTCCATTTGGATTAGCTGATTAAAAGTAGTTGATAAACATCAAGTGCAGAAAATCACTTTTAGATGCTGAAACCAATTTTATAAATAAGCAGTTACGTGTTTGGATAGAACTGCTGAAGCTGATAAGAAGCCGTTCGTGTATTGAGTGATGGTGGCTTCAGGACATGAGGCAAAATTTTTGCAATGGTAGCAACAACTATTCTTCACATAGGCACATACTATCTTGATGTCTAATATGTACTTTCCCTAGTCTGCTCCACTTATGCTCCAAACATTGAACAATAGTTTTCCTCATCTTAGACATTTCTTTTTTGTTCCTGCATTATTAGCACTCAAGTAATAATTAAAGCCGATCAAATGTACTATTCGTAGTGTGCATGCAGTTATCTAGTTACCTGGCTTTCTCTTGTTTACCCTTTACCATCAATCTCCTAATTTGAAGTTTCATTCTTGGCATTGTTACCTCAAATTATACTAAAACAGTTATTTTTGTCGCTTTTATTTTCTTAGAATACTCCAATAGCAAGTGCAATATCTTTTGCTCACCCATCAAGCTCTCAAACGGTGAATTGCTCCAAAAGATGGAGCAGGATCACTTGGCTGAGTCACTCAATGATCTTTTCACCAATGTATCCAGGATGATAAGAGGCGAGCTCCAGGTATAAGAAAGCTTTGGCAATTTTCTTTCATAATGCTGCTTTGTGTGTCTTTTGGTTCTTTTTCTTTCTTCTGTTGGGGATGTGAGGGAGTTGGGGGGTTGGATGGGTTTCTAATTAGCCCAGATATGATAAACTTTTGTACAAATTAGTTTTTCTTTCTTCCTCATATGTTGTCCCGCATGTGTATGCTAATTACTAAATTTTCAATTAGTGTTTAACTTACATTAGCAGCATGGACATAATTTTGTAAGGAATTTTACTGTACCTTACATGTTTCCCACTGTAAACATACTGCAAGGTTGCCAACTTGCCATCCCAATAACAGCCATACAGTTTTCCTAAGCAGGCAGCTAAGAGATAATTTGCACAGATAAAGTGGAAGATTGCTCTTTTGATGAATCTGACCAGATGTTTAGCTCACAAATGATCAGTTAATGATAACTATTAGTTGCAAGGAGAAATTGTTGTGAACTTGTTAGTTCATAGATTTCGTTCCTGCCTTTGGTTTATTAGAAATCATTATTGCCCAATTCAAGATCATGGATTAAGTAAAGGTTTCGTGGAACCTGACCAGTTGTTTTGCTCAGATAGGATGAGTGACCCCATTGTTTCATCCAAGGCAAAGAAGTGTTTGTTGATTCAGTAACTCCCTCATTCCTCCCTTTAGTTCACTCAGTATTAGCCATTCGTTTGAGGAAGTAAGCAAAGCCAGATCCAGAAAAGAGCATAGAATAATTCTTGTTTGCTTAGCTTTACTTTTTATTCTGTCTTCTTTTGCTTTATAGTTTTCCTTTACCATGAACCTTCTAGCATCTTCATTTTCATAGCTTAAAATGAATCCTGCATGGTAGTGATATATCCAATAGATAGGTCTTTATGAGTACAGCCGCTAATATGACTGCTGTTGCATCTTTGTAAAATATTCGGCTGTGTTTAGGTTAAGAACATACACTTTCAAAATGGATTGTGCTGGTACTAGTGTGTATAGTTGATTTTCTGCTTTTATCGTAATGCTGCTTTGCTAATTGCATATCAGGAAACCAACAATGTACTTGGACTAGTGGAGAAAATGAATACAAGAGTTGCTGAAGAATATAAAGGATTTGGAGATGTGGCTTCAGGATTGAGGATCTTTGTGGAGCAATTGAAGTCTAAAAGTGGCAGCTTTGACGAGTATGTTCAACAGATTGATACAATAGAGCAGCAAGTTACAGAGTTTGAAGCTGTAATTTCGATGCTTGATAAGTACGTTTCTTTGCTGGAATCAAAAGTGCAGTCTGCGTACCAAATTCCTCCATCATGAATCAACTGTAATTCTTCTTTTTGTTTCTACTGCTACACCCTCAAAGCTGTTGCTGGATTGAATCGAACTTGATTTTTGCATGTCATCAAGAATACAAATAAAAAGATGAATTTAGCAACTGTTTATCTCAAATGGAAAGGATGCTATTGAGTATACAGCTAACAAAAGCCCGGTAAGAAGTCTTTGGAAGAACTTCTGTTGGATTTGCTTGTTTTTATTTTTTGCGATATATATGATTCTTTTGTTCTGTCTTTACTCTTGATTCATCTTTTCAGTTTTTGGGTACAATAGCTTTTTTGTGTATCTTGCGCTTGTTACTCTACCTAGTTTTTACACCAATCCAATATCGTGTGCTGGAATGATTCTTGATTTTGTGGAGAACCAAAATAAGTCATTTCTAAATTTTCCAACTAAATGATTATCGAATGAGTGATCTTAAAATTAATCAATTTCACTAGTTTAGTTTATGAAAATAATTTCCATATTATAATTCAATTTTAATTTTTCCAAGTAAATGACCCTTTTTCAGAATTTTGTGCAAATCAAGTGAAATAATCTAATTGCGTCTGTCCCAAATGTAAATGTTAAGGTAACTAAAGAACATACTGCTTTGCTGGAGAGGAACAAAGCATGTTTTGATGAGCAAAGGGAGCATATCTCTAGAACTAGGAATAGTTTGTCTTCATAATCTTTATTTTTGGTGTAACAGCAGTCTTCTAGAGAATATGAATCAGTATATGGATTTTTTGGATTTGCTAGGAGGAAAAATGAGTAGGCTGTTTGTTTGGTTCCTGTTTGCGGTTTGTACTATGTTGTACCATCTTGGTACTTTATTAATAAAATTTTACCTTATAAGAAAAAACTAAAAAAACATACTGTGGCTAAGAACCAGAGTGTGCATAATTTGGCCAGGTTCCCCAAGTAGTTGACAAATTTGACTACAATCAAATTACATCAATTAAAAAAAGGGCATAGTTGGAGGCATCTTCTTTGAACTCAAAGCAATTTGACTACAATCAAATTTATAACCACTATTCATTCTTCAACATCAACCTGAAAAGGCAACTCTCTATTCGCTCGATTGACATCTTATCCTAACCACTATTCATTCTTCAACAACAACAAATTCGGACCTCAAGATATTCAAAGTGAATAGGCACTGCACCTGGGATCTCTTTCAAGGGAATGAAAGATGCCAAGCCTGGGAAGGGTCCCCACAACTTCATTCGCAGGGGAGAACATACGCCGTTAAATGTTTTCTATCTCAAAATTGTTGTTATTTATCAGATAATGGTAGCTAAAGACTTAAATAAGAGAACCAAATTCAAGAATCTGCAAAGGTCATGAAAGCTAAAAGCTTAACCATACACAACACGAATTTGGCACAGACAAAATCGAAGCTCCCTCTGATCCCTATGATGATATGATTTAGTTTTATTTTCAGAGACACGTGCAAAAGCATATCATATTATCATTTAACAAAATGTATACATGATGTCACGACCCATTTTTCTAAACAAGTGACCGGCACCCGATCACTAAATATGACCGAGCGAACCATCTGCGCTTATCAAATCTGTTATAACTTCAAACTTTATATGCAATAAGACAATACTATAACCAAATACTTTTAATTAATTTAAATACCTAAAATAAGCCAACTCCAAAACTTTATTTGTAGTAAACAATGAAATATTGCTAAGTTAAACATCTGAATCTTAACCCACCGACTGTGTCTATGAAGCCTCTACTGATAAACTGACGCATTGCTCAGGAAATGAGATTTCCTGGCCAGTTCTCTAGGTAAACAAAGAAATAGCTAAATAAAGATAACTCTAAGGAATACTCCACGAACAAAAGCGGAGCTCACCAATAGCACTGGAAGGGAGGGGAGTCCTAAACTGTAGCCTGCTCGCCTGTAAAATCGGTTTCTACGTTGTACCGCAGACCAACGTAGGTTCCCAAAAGAGAACGTCAATACCATTCATTGTACTCAGTGAGTCTCAACGACAGGGGATGAAACTTTAATACAATATACATTACGAGCAAAGAATCTAAATGCATAGAAAACATAAAGCCTCTAAGAACAATTCTAAAATAATTGCATAATAGCAGTTTATGAATCTTCTAAAAACATTATTTTCTTTTTCTTAAAAAAATTACTTCTCTTTATATTTTGGGAGTTCCAACTATCCTGACCTGTTTCTGTCTTAGTCACCGTGTGATCGGCACGGGTTCGATCCCAACCTGATCGAATAGGCCCAATCCACGAGGTGCCACTCGCTTCATGGTTCTCAGCGCTCATGTATCATACCTTAGCTTAGCTAAGTAAATTCTCAGCAACGAGACCCTCGGCTCGTGTGCTCCCTACTTTGGCACAAGTAGTTTCAGGAAGTCAACGTCTTGGTCAGGACCCTCGGCCTGGACGATGACCCCTTCTCAGAATAAAGGATACTCCCAAAAAAATCTCTTCTTTCTAAAACTTCTTCTTGTGACTTTTCAAATCTAAATCTTTTCTTTTTGGAACATCATGTACAGGCTCATGCTGGTATCCTTAAATGTAAAGCATGACATAAGAATGAAATAAACATCTAAAAGTATTTCTAAAGATTCTTGCTTCTTCATAAATTTTCAACATGAAAATAGCGTATAAGAATAACACAAAAATCTGAAAATTTATGCACATATATCATAATAAATCATCTAAACTTTTGCTAGAACAATTCTAAGTTAATAGGTACTCACTCGCTCCAATTAAGTAAATATAAACTCTTTTAAGCAATTCATCAAACACCTTGTATGCGTGCTTTTGTGAGTTAAACCACTTTAGTAAAGAGTTATATCAACTCACCTAAAAACTCCTTGAGCCAATACGTAGACCCCAGTCC